CAGCCTGGAGCCCCTCTAACAGCACTGGGCGCTATGCGTCGCGGGTCAGGGTCTGCCCGTCCCCCTGCCCTGGTACATCGCCCCGGGCCCTCCCTCCTGTGGGCTGTGCAACTGTGTCGTAGGGAATCAAATGCTCAAGGGCGGGGTCGTATTTTCCTACTAATTATTAATCTGAAAGAATGATTTAGTTTCCATTTAAAATCAGTGTGCTTAAGTGTGAAAGTTGCTTTTTTAGATAAGATAAATACAATTTTTAATCCTTAGGTAATGTCTCAGAAGACTAAAAAATGTGGCAGTCAGCTAAAATCATGGAGAATGAGTAAAATAACAAGACGCTGACAATAGGAGCTGGAAGCATAGAGAGATGAGCAGCCTCCTGAGACTGAGAACTAATCAGGTCACCATCTGCTAGCATGTGAAAGTGGAAGATTGGGCTTACTCAGGTAGTTATGGTTTTCCTTTTCAGTAACTTTACTCCCAAGAAGCCTGACTTTGACTCCTCTTAGTTATTCCTCTCAGAATACAACATTTAGCTTGTTTCACAAAACGTTATACAACGCCTCGCTAGTTAAGGATGTCCATGGTCCATGTCTGGACAGAGAAGATCGTGCAACTGTGCCTTTACTGGTGACACAGGAGCTCATGCCACAGTGGCCGGTGCCAGCGAGGAGCCACAGTCCCCTTGTTCCCGCTGGAAACTTCCACCTGCAAGTAACACGTAAAGTTAAAACAGTGATGCGTGACAAAAGTTCTGAACACGACCTTCTCGCCTTGTATATCCTGTTCGGTCTCCCTGGCTCACCCCCACGTTGCTCAGCACCGGGGTGTGAAGGGTGCCCGTGTGTGGAACGCTTGCGCAGGGAGTACGTGGACGTAACCGCGTGCTCTCGTTCTCACCTACCGCCAGAGCCTGTCCTCTCCGCTAACAAAAACGCTTGCTGCCAGCTGTTTTCTACCATGGGATTTTCTAGGATCCTAAAAAAATTTGCAGTTTCTCATTCCTTCTCCTTTTCAGCTGCCTTCTCAAATATATCTGGTTTTAGAAGACTTCTCCTCTAGAAAGACGCTGACCCTGGAATCAGTCAGAACTGCCCACATTTGCGTAGTTTTGGTGCAAGTTACTGTCTTGTAGGGACAAAGCGTAGGACTTTGCCAGTGCTTATTGGCCCAAGGTAAAACTTGATTGATTTTCAGATTTATGCCTTGTATCACAGAACCACAGAGTGACCAGCAGGTCGAGAGAGGTGATTCTGCCCCTCTACTCTGC